TCACTAGAAGTTTCTGGGGAAGGTTTGTTCACATAGGATGCTAAGTCATGGTTTGTTTAGCTTCACTGTGATTATTTGTACATCCAAACCAAGCTCACAAATGTGAATGTGACCAACAAACTATGGCTTGAAGTTGGCTTACAGATCTGAGCTCATCTTAATCATGGTTCCTTTTTAGGTCTGAAATGGTACTCTGATTTTTTTCAGTGTCCAAGCCCAAATGCTCACTGGCTGTATCTGGATGAGTCACAAAATGTAAGAAAACAAAACCAATATTACAAAAACAACTTGCAGTTACTTTGCTCATCTGCAAGGTTGATCCTCTTTTGTTCAATAGATCATGATTAAAACAAACCATGGCTTAGTGTTGTGTGCAAACGTGGCCAGTTACTTGTTCACACATAGTATCAAACAACAGTTTAACATTATTTATTAAGAGATTTCTATACCACCCTTCAACAAAAAAGGTCAGAAGCAAATTTACAAAAAAAATAAAGTAATATAAAACATATTAAATGAAAGCATTAAAATAATTCTCAGAATTTATATAAATAGCATAATCAAAAACACCCCCCAAAATGACTTAACTGTCAACCACTAAAAGCTGGCAAAAATGGTGTGTTTTTACCCAATATCTGAAAGAATACTGAGTCGGGGCAAGATGCACGTCAATGGGGGTGCCATTCCAGTGTCACAGATCCAACACCAAAAATGCTCTTCCGCAGGTCCCTGGACTATACACCTCCTTTAACACAGCAACCACCATGAAAGCCTTGCCCACTGATCAACCAACACAGGTAGGGTGGTACAGAAGAAAGCATTATCACATACATTTGGATGCAGGCCATTCAACGTAAGCACCCTGAGCTGGCCCTAGAAGGTAACTGGCAACTAGTGCAGATGTTTAGTAACAGGAGTTGTGGTCGACTGGCCCACTGCCATTGACACCAACTGCATTCCACACTAGTTGCAACTTTTGGATTAATTTCAAGGGCAGACCCATTTAAAGTGCAATTACAGTAGTCCATCCTGGAGGTTACTAGAGAAGATGGTTGAGACCCCTTCACGGACAATCTTTGGATTCACGAGCTCCTTTCTTTTACTCCATTAACCCTCTCCAGGCATTAAGAATTCAGAAAGTTAACAGATGAGGGTGGCAGTAGGGAAGAGCATGCTGACTCCACCCTCATTGCCATTTCAATCACCCAACTTTGTAAATGGCAAATGGGTGAAATAGGGAGCCTTTTCATGTTTTCATCTTTACTGTTCTTGTTCTGTATATTCTTTGTATCTAAAATAAATAAAGGGTTTGTGAATGAACTGTGCTCTGCCTGCCCTCTTTCCTCCCCTCACATATTGTCTTCGCCTCACTTTTGGTTTAGCGGCAAGCCAACATTCGCCATTACATGGAACCCAAACAGTTCAAAACTGCAGTTTCTTGCACTGTGAACATGGAGAATTGTTCATAGGACTGGTGCTTCCTTAATTTCATTTCCTATTAATTATGTACCCTGTTTCTCTCTCAAACTGAAGCCCATGGTGGCTAAACAGCAACACACTGAAACAAATACAATATGGAAAATAATATGAAAGGTTATTTAAACTTTTTTAAAAATGAAAATCTAGGTCTAACAACAAGTCTGTTACCAGTGTTTTAAAAGAGTATAGCCTCTGTGGACATGGAACTGTTGTTGTGAAATGAATAAATCTTCCAGGAGGAGGTGGGCTCCCCTATTTGCATATATATTCCCTCCTTGAATTGCAGGCTAAGAGCTTGGTTACCAAATGTGACAAGGCAACAAATTCTCTTTGCATAATCATGGCTTACAAATGCCCACAGCTCTTTCGAGATAGTCCCTTATGAAGAAGTGTCCATGTTTACATAGGATTGCAGCATTTCCAGATATCTTCACAGTTCCTAAAAATTCCACAGTGATCAGAAGGTGCACTGCAATCCCCTATAGAGGTGTGCTTTTAATTCACATAGTCTTACATCCACATTGTTGAAAGCAAGAATCTGAGACTGATCACACTGTCAACAAAAGGTTTGCACGTACAAAACAATCCTTAGTGACTTAATCCAGAAATATAACTGTAATGCATTTTCAGAGTAAAGGTGGGCCTATTACATGTGTCACTCATTCCTTCCCTCCAAAAAAGACTTTTGGTGATAGTCTATCAGAAAAAAAGAGAACTAATCACTACTGTATAATATAAGAAAGGTTACATATTAAGTAAGATTTATGAACACCATCTGTTTGCCTTTTCTTTCAAATACAGTTTTTTACCAGAATAATTAAATAAATGAGCATTATAACATACAGAGGAAACAATGGAAGCTAAAGCCAGTTTGACTTGTTTGGGCTGTGTTTTATGCTCTCCAGATCCAGGCCAAATTGTCTGTCACCCACTACCAATGTGCTGGGACGGCTACACATAGAACCAACTTCTTGTCTTTTCACTGAACCACTGCCAAACTTGCCTGGAAATAATAGGGTGCCTTTTTAGGTTTCAACCACATTAAGTCTCGTATCTTTCAATGACTCTAAATTAGGAACTGGAATGTCTTCTTGAAAGTCCATAATCTATATGCATTTCTGCTACAATAACTCATTACATATTTATATGTTACTTATAAATGCATACATATACACTATGTCATATATGCCCGCAAGCATTGTTGAGGCAAAAAGGGGGAAAGCCATTGACTTGGTTTTGCATAATTAAGACTCCAATAACTCAGCTAAAGCAAGTTACCAGGTTCTTTGCTGTTCAAGAATAAAAACAATGAAACCAAAGCAATTCAGGAGGTTCTATTTAGTACTACATTGAAACTGAATGCAAAATACAGAAAGTGAATGACAAGATCACAAAAAAGTCTTCCTAATGAATGAATACCCCCCCCACACACACTGAAACACTTTCATAACTATACTATTGCAAATTCATTATTTGTACAGAGGGACAGAAGAGTAGGCAATCCTAGCAGAGTTCATAAAATGGATTGATACTGCATGCTACAGACACTTAAGACTATGTTGCTGTATCAAGAGAACTGTACAAGTGTTACTGTTCTGCAAATATTTTGGTTTACATATAAATCACCAACATCATAAATTTTAAAAGCTTAGAGAAAAGTTCAATACATCCATAACATTGTGTTATAGTACAACCTGTTCATACTTCAATTGACACCAGAGGCTTTCTCAGAATTTCCTCACCATATGGCAGGTAGGTACACTGGGGGAGGGGATAAACTTTTCAATTGCAGCACCACATCCCAGACTACCTGGCCCCTAGTTGGTGACTAGTTGGTCCGCCATGTTCTGAGAACAGGCATTTTGATATAGCATTGGGCAAGGGCTTGGTAAGATGATAAAATGTGCCTCTTGCCCACTTTTATTTTTGGGTGCTTTGTTTTGGCTGATCGTAACATGATTGTTTTGGCTGATATCGTAACATGATTGAACAGCGAGAAACAACACTGTAACATGAGATCTAAATGGGCAGAGATTTTCACCTATGCAAGTCTTTGGAATTCTTTATCAGATGACAGTTCTGTTTGCACTGCTCAATTAAATCCACCCCATATATGTAAGCATTAAGCATACTGTATATCTCTTCAACAAAGCCTGTAAGTTGTTGGTGAAAAAAGTGAGCATAACTAATATTTTAAGAACCCCCTAAAAAGCAATGTGCATGTGTATCACTGGCAGTGGGGGATGTTATTTCACAGTCATTTCCCATAGTCAATCTTCTTGGAAACCAGAATTTTGCTAGAAAAAGTAAGACAGAAACAATAGTTTAGAAAGCAATTCAAAGTGGCAACTTAAAAAGCAATTCATCTAATGTACCAAACCAAATGTTTGGCTCATGTTTTGACATAAAAACAGTGCCCTCTACTGCACAACTAATGAGCAGCAATGCCCAACAAGGGCAATAACATTAAATACCTTTTCAATCAGTGGTAACAGTCACCGTGCCTAGTTTATACTTTTCAGTGATTAGGCTAATTGAATGTACAAACTGTACAACATTGGCTAAGAAAGTAGGCTAACTAACATTTTCTCCTCCGAACTAGTACAGTTTATTCTTTCTGGTAGCAACTACATTTTTGTTGATCGCAAATATACAAAAAGAAAAAAAACCACACCTAATGAGTAGCATTGTAGTATTATTGACAGAGAGTTTGGAACTCTGAAATAAAAAGTATATTATACAGCAGAAAAAGCCTAACTGAACCATTCATCCACCAGTGAGTCTTTTCTTATGTTAAATACCAATGAGAGTAATGATAAAGATCTAGTCACAAGACACCCTTTATTGCTCAAACGGAAGTGCATGAATTAATCTGCCCACATTGTCCTAAACAATCCTCCTCTAAACATAGATGAGGCACCCTAAAGTTATTGCAGCCAAAGACTTGAGATGCAAATCCAAGATAGCACCAAATAAAACATTAACCTGTCTTGTTTTAAAATTTAATGTTTTAAAACGGCATAAATTTTGTTGTTGATTTAAATGCTCACAACTTGAAAAAGAGTGAAAGGCAGACAGAAGGAACAAAGAATCTGAAGAGGATTTATTGATTGTCAGACAGATCCAGGGAGGTCTCTTAACATTGGAACACAAATATTTAATCTGATTCTGAAATCTTATCTGCTGCCTTTAAGAAGATTAACATATATTCTCTTGCTGCAGACTATGAATTCTGACTGCCTAACAAACTGGAAGCACTTTTTTTTCTTTTCTTTTTTGAAGCTATAGGACCTGCAAGTCTGTAAAATACAATTTTACTCAAAAGCAATTGTGCTAATACAGACAAAGAGGCAAGCATGTTGAGGAAAGATGTATCTTAACAGCTTAGAACAGAGCAGTATTCATGTATTCTAACTTCATATGCATTTAGGCTGTCCTTACTCTGAATCTAATCTGGGATACAATGTGTATGCAAAATATTTAAATCGGGTTGAACTATAGATTAGGAATTATATTTTTTGTGTGTATAGATATATTAAAGAAAGAGATAAATTTACATTCTGAGACTTTAAATTAGCAAATAAAAAGAACTCTTAGCTCAATGGTGAAGCAATCCTAAACTGAATTGACAGAAAATAAAGACAGAAGCACTCAATATGCTAAACAACCAAATGCTTGAATAAATGAAACTTGTTGCCTCAAAGAGGCCTTTCCAAACCAGTGTGAGAACAGAGACAGGCACGCAGCCAGGCTGCCATAGACTATCAGCTACATCCCACTCCACATCCTCCATACGGAGGTTTGGGCCAGAAAATCCATTAATTTACAAAAACATTAGGCGTGCCCCTGGCTCTCCACAGCATCCTTCACATTGCCACAAGGGCTTTGTCTAGACTAGGATTTAAGGGTTGCATTAGCTTATCCTAGCATCTAACTCAATCAGTGTAAGTATGTATACATTATTCTGTACATTAGACTCTTTTTAAACTCTGGCTGTTGCCATCCCCCTAAAAAAGCACATCAACATTTAAAGCCAAGTTAGTCACAGTAACATCAAAAGAAAGCAGTGGCCCAATTCTAAGAGCCACTGCAAACATACAGTCCATAGGGAGCTTGTGACAAAGGTACAAGCGGTTCCTTGCAGAAGGACCCAGACCCAACTGCAGTGCTGGCACACACTGTTGAAACTAGAGGCAGCTAAGCCACCTTCCTGAGGGCCACCAAAGTGAGCAGCCCAAGAACTGTTGTGTTTGATTTGAAGACTTTAAATGGCAACTGGAATCAAACTGCATACAAACTGCTGCCTGTGTTACTTATAGTCAAAATTCCATGTCAGAACTGGGCTAGGTGTTAATTTATAAGAAAGTTGAACTAAAGAGGTCTTCAAGGTGCATTATGGGTTAATTAGCAACAGGGGCCTGACATCCATTAGTTGTTGCAATGTGCTGGAAGTAACAAACACCCAGCACAATTTTTATAGACCTCCCTGTATTAAACTTATTAAAAAAAAAAAAACTCACTCCACAAATTTGTTGAGAAACATCTCTGTCATCTTTGGCAACTTTCTGGTTTTTCACAGCCTGCTGCTATCGAATTACAAGTAACAATCCTGGTCCTTTTTGCAAGCTTTAATACATTTGGAAACTGCTTTCTTTAGACCACATCTTGAATTCTCACACATTTGTTAAATGTATGAAAAATCCTGAACCATTTTGGGCTCTGTATCACTCACTAAAATTGCCCCCAACTTGCAAAAAGGCCTCTCTTCTTCTTTTTAACCCGAATTCTAACGTCACGAGCAAAATCAGATTTTGTTTGATCTTTTTTTTTTAATGAAATGTTTGAAGAGGTACTAAAAATTTAAAGTTTAATAGAAGGGGTTTGTTGAAGTTATAATTTTTTTTATTATTTTTTTAAACCACTTCCTGGAAATGTGAATATTTGAAGAAAAACAATAGAACATATCTATTTGTGTGCTTCTTTACTGCAGTTGGGGCTTCTGTGACTGAAGGTGGGGTAGAGGAGTTTTAAAAATTCTCCCTTTCCTCAGCAGTAACACTCTTCCGGAGGCTGCCCATTCCTCTGGAGAAGGTGGCGAGCTCAGAGAATTGCAGAGGGAAGGTAGTTAGGTTAACCAGCCTAAATATACTCTTCTGGTTCTTCTCTATGCCAAGATGTTCTGCTAGCATGGAAGACAAGGGATTCAAGCACTCCTTGTTAGCTACATACTGTCTCAAGTTACTGGAGAAAAGTTGGAGAGGGCTACTGCAGTCATGGTCCTGCTTGTTAGAACATTCCTATAGGCATATAGTTGGGCAGTGTGGGAAAAAGGTTACTGGATCTTAAAGGCCTACAGTCTGCTCCAACATGGCTGTTCTCAATGCACTGTAGGGCAGGGCACTATCTGGTTTTCAACATCATGATACATCACCAGCTAAACATTGTGATATATTGATATATCACGATGTCTTAAATAAGGATGGAGATATGTAGAGGCTTTGGCTAGCTTCACATTTCCCCCCACATTGGGATTTTGACATAGCACACACACATCATGATTTGCAATATATTTCCAGGTCAAAAATGATGAAACCAATACAACGATATGGACTTGAAACTAGTTTTGGACGATATATTGCCCAGCCCTAACACACATCATGATTCGCGATATATTGCCAGGTCAAAAACAATGAAACCGATATTCCGATATGGACTTCAAACCAGTTTTGGACTGTATATTGATATACCGCCCAGCCCTAATGCACTGTATTTGGGGCTGCCTTTGAAGACTATGTTACTTGAAAATTTCAGCTGGTACAGAACGTGTCAGACAGATTGTTATTGAGCCCAGCTCTAGCCTAACAGCAGCCCTGCATTCTCTCAACGTGCATGAACTCTGCCCCAAATTTGATGCCATTTGGACCTTGCAACAAATCACTCCTCACAATACAACCCACTGCATTTGCCTTTAGATATTGTCCTATCCTGACCAATTCCTAATCCTGTATTCAACTCTGATCCATGCTTGAGATAAAACATAAAGATACATATATAATTACATATTACTGTAGCTCTGTCTCTTGTCAACCCGCAGTATAGTTTTGGTCCATGACTGTAAACGCCTTGGAAAATTCTAACAGAACTCATTAGTGAGGGGTGGGGAGTATATAAAACACTACTCTGCTCATATTTCAGCTTTCACTAGTAACCACTTGACCTCAGAGAATCTAAGAAGACGAACGGCAAAAGGAAACCACTATACAAACCTGAAACTAAAACAGACAGAAGAGGGAAAGAGGATGTAATATATGCCAAAAAGAAAACATGGCCAAACAAAAGCTTTAAATCCAGCCAGTAAAGAATGTTTTTTTAAGTGGCTTTTACAATACTCCAGTTCGGCAATGTTTATATAGGAAAGTTCTTGAAAAGGGGAAACTGTCAAATATCATTAGATTGGTAAAATTATACATCTCAAGTTTACTGCTGCAACCCTCATTTTTCCAGACTTCTTGCCAATTTTTGGCTTTTAAGACTTCACCGCATCTTCCGAGAATCTATTCTGAATTAAAATATATACTTTGTACAGAAATATCTGAACTCTAAGCTAAATAGAAAAAGGAAAAGACAAGAAAATGATGAGTTCTGTAGACAAGCATTGTAAGAAAAAGCTGAGCATCCTTTAATGAATGAGCCAGATGTCCCAGCACTCCGGTCCTAACTCAATTTAAGGGCAGCCTGAAAATTTGCTAAATAAATTTTACTTTAAAGGAAACAGTGTTTGAATGATTGAATTTTAGATTTAAATATTTAGATTTTGATTAGATCCTTATGCTGCCCTTTAAGATTACAGATGTACTAGATATTGAGTTCCATTCTTAGCTCATGAATAGGGAAATGAAAACAGCCAAACACAAGTCAGACCATTTTTCCATCTGCTCCAGTTGCAAAGCAAATTTGGCCAGTAAGTTACAGTACCTTCCATCCCATAATTATCTACTCTTGACTGGCAGTGGCCCTTCACTGTCATCAGCACTCGTCATAGCTCTGGCAAGGAGCACATCACAGACATCTTCAGCTTGAACAATTACATAGTCTAAGAGGTGCCAGTGGTGTGACCGAGGGTGCCTCTATGATGTTTTAAATTTATTTTTGTTGAAAGTGTGTGTTGGTAATAATGAGGTTATGCGCTGCACATATTGTCAAAAGTAAGATTCCATTCTGGTTGCTGTTGCCAATTCCTTCTTTCCCAATAGTCCCAGGCCATAGATCAAAATCTTGCCCAACTCTTGCATTAAAATCACCCAGGAGGATAATTTTATCTGATAGGATGGCATCCAGCTGAGACTAAATTTTTTCTTTAATGTCTTCATCAGCATCCAGTGTTTGTGCATGAGCGCTTAGAATAGCAGCCTGTTGGTTTTTGGTGAGTTTTATTCGAAGGGTTGAAAGCCACTCATTAATGCTGGTAGGGACTCCTGACGAGAGCTTCACAAGATCATTTTTTATAGCAAAACCTACTCCATGTATTTGATTTTCTTGTTCAGGTAGACCTTTCCAGAAGAATGTGTAGCCTCCTTTTTATTCGTTGCAACTCTCTTGCAATGATGGCGATCCTGAGCTCGGAATGCTCATTATCTGTGTTATCCAACAAAGTCCATATATTCCTTGTTCCAAAGTTCAATTGTCTTTTACAACTGCTGGGTGGCGCGGTAATCCAGTCAGGGAAAAAGGGAGGCAGACTATGTTTAGGGCACCTTTTCTACGCCCACCCCCCTTTTCACGGTGAGCAGAGTGTATCCTAAATAGGACTGCTTAGCTGCCGAGCTACACAACTGCCTCATTCCTTGAGTCAGAACGAGTGAATCTGTATCCACCGCCCACAGGCTGGTTCACTACTAGGGGCTTCCAGATTTCATGGTCTTGCCCCTGTTACCATTTGCTGATCGCCATGGGACTTTTTTGGGTTTGGGGTGGATTTTTGGAAGACGCCTGTACGTGAATTTGTTTTGTGTGTGTAGATCAGTGCACGCTGACCAATGCACAGTCTTCACAGTTAGACTCTATTCCGATGGCATGAGTATCGAGACGACCGGTAGATTCTTATCTGCTGCAACCTTCATCTGCCGTCGCAGCCATTGTAACATACTGCTTGTTATTTTCTGCCTGTTCTATCGTTGAGGACTTCTTGGATCATTCTTTGTCTAGCTCCTCCCCTTTGACTGTACCGCCTCGGGTGACCCTGCTGGGAGTACGAGACTCCAGACGGCTTTGCTCACAAGGGTCATAGGAATGTGCAAGCCCACTCACCCACTCACCACAACAAGGCGATGATCCTGCAAGCAAGTGTATGTATATGTATGACTTGCTTGCCTGCCCTTCACTGTGAAGTCCCAACTGCCAGGGCAGGTTACAGTATTACATAGTTAGGATTGCTCTGAACATAATTTTAGAAAGAAATGTTAAAATTCTCTTTTAACATTATAACCAGAAACCCACTCAAGAACACCACAAGAGCCACTTACTTAGTAACAGTATGATAGATATATTTTCACAATAGTTAGCAAAATAATCACCTACTGGTCAGCCTTATCTAAAAGAGTGGATAAGATGGGTAACTTTGGTTAATCACAGGTTTGCCTAAACCAGTATTTATTACAGAAGAAGAAATACAGGCTGGTTTTGAGATATATATTATTTAGCTTTTTAATACTGTATGTTATTTTATTTTGCAGAAATCAGGGTTTCCTTTACAAAATGTTTCTTACAACCGTTATTTCTTTGTTTATACTGACCTCTAGTGGTATAAAGTAGTATACAATAATTTTATATGTCCCAGAGGTGAAATGCAATATTGAAGAAATTGCCATAACCAAACCATTGAGTCCTTCAGCTGTTCACGTTGGCCAAGGAGGTCACACCCTATGAAGGACAAAGCATATTGACACAGATAATACTCAGAATCCCCCACTGGGTTATGAATTAATACCTTACTGTTCATTAACAGACAGGTAAATTCTGTTTTCACACATTAAGCTTGTAATTAAAACGTGCAATTATAAACATGTAATTAAAAATGTTCAGGAGTTATTAGATAATGTGGAAATGTTTGCAGAAATATTTGGCTAAAACTCCGGCTCCTACATGTTAAATGCCCTTCCTATTTGATTTGATTTTTTAAAATTTATATACCTCTTAATATACTAAAAAATATCTCTAAACTGTGCACAGAAAACTGAAGCAACAACAGACAACTTAAACAAAATATTACAAAAATACACAATTACATATAAAAATGTTACATTAATACAAAGATACTAATATATATAAATCAATATAAATTCATTCTTCTTCTGATGCACACTCCCTCTCAGCCTCCAGGTTCTCACCCAGGGTCCAAACAAACTTTCACCTCACCGACAAAAGTATCACAAGAAGAAGAGTTCCTGGAACTCTAGTCTAGTCTCTCACTCTAGACTTGCTTGTCATGGGCAGGCCCAAGGCGAGTGGTACTTCCTCAGCCTGCCCACAGCTGTCTCTCATTCAACTGTACTCTCCACACCCAGTTCCAGGTGCAGAAGGTTTGTTGAGCTTCCCAGGGGGTCCAAAGGATGGGAAAAGGGCGTCCCTCCAATCACAACTCTTTCTTCAACCTCAATCCCCTCTCCTCGTCCTCCATCCAATACATATCCTATTAAAAATGTGAACGAGACAACTGGGTGTAATTCGGTATTGGTGGAATGACAGCAATGGAACAACAGGAGTAAAATCACTAGTAAATTTCCCACGTGGGGTTCAGCTTACAGATGAGCAGAGTGCCATTGTCTAATTTAATGTATGTACAGAGGGTACCAAAATAAAAATGAAGTCCTTGCACTTTAACTGCTTTCAAGTACAGCACACTGAAACATAGTCCATTCTTCCATTCCAAAATTTACCACAGCTTTGGTCACAGGGGTCAGGGCACAGGAGTGTTTCACAAGAGGAAGACGAAGGGTCAAAAGATGGGCAACGGTAGGAAACAACTTTAGCAGTTCATTTCCCTTCTAAAAGAATGACAGTTATTTCCTCTTTCCGGGAGGGAAAAGGTAGATTAAAACAAACACATTGTAAGAAATAAAAGGGAGTGAACATCCTCATACTAAATACATTCAGCTGAAGCAAAACCCATTTAAATTCAATAGCTTTTTACTGTGCAAAACATTTTATGGCATACACAAACCCTCTATCAGTCATTTTTGCCCTAAAAACAGAATGAAAAAGGAGCCAGCTTCTAAAAAGTTTCTCTGCACAGTTTTTTGGAACATCCCCCCCACAAACACACTCTGGATGCAGTGGTGTGACAGATACACTAGATATAGCTTGCATGTGTTGTGCTTCCTGAGAGGAACCAGGAAGAGGTAGGGGCAACATTCACCTTCCTCCGGCCTGAGGAGAGGGAAGCTACAGAGAGCTGTGAAACCGTTACTTAAATAATACTTTTAGGTTGGGTTTAGAAAGCAAAGTTTGTTTGATACTGTAAGCAATTCCAGAACCTTTAAATACAGGCAACCAGGCAAGTAGCTATTAACTAGTCTGGCATACTCCAAGTAATAATTAGTGTTTATATGTCATGCTTAAAAGCGTAAAAAGCACCTCGTATACCTTACCTCAGCAATCCTTAAGGCAGCCACGGAAAACAGACCAGTACTATCCCCCAGGGAAGATTCTCTCATATCAAGCTGAGAGAACAATACGCTTGCCACTACAGCCCACACTTAATTTAGGTACCATAAAGAGTTGCTAATATCTCAACACCTCGGGAGGATGTGTCACCAATGGCGAGACCACTGCTAGCCTCAGCATTTGAGCTACGGTGAGCTCCCAGCAATTAAAATTGTGGGGACCAGAAGCCACATTTCCATGGAACACTGTCTTCTTACAATCTATGGGATATGTTTAAGTTGTCGTGGCCTGAAGACATGGACTGGTGAGGCCAACTCCACACCCTCTTGGTCCCTTACCAATTACAGTTGGCAAAATCTAGAAGGAAGATATTGATTGGATGGCTAATGCTTCACTATGCGAGGGACTTATAGCTACCATCTTGAAAGACACAGTGGCGTGGCCTTTTCTTAACAGGCCCTCCCTGGACCCGGAGGGTACAGAAAATGCCAGTCCCCAGTATTCCCTTTCCTGGTCATGTGGAGCCTCTGCACCGCTCATGCACTGGGGTTTCTTTACAGTCAACCAAGTGCCACACTGAGGAAGAGGACACAACATCAGGGGCAATGTTAAAAGTGTGGCCCTGCTCCAAAATAAATATGCCCTACATGTGAGTAACACAGGAACAGAGGGTTTGTCCCAATTACAATGGCACCTGGCTGGGGGGGACTAGGGCTATCCCTGGGTGTGTGGGGAATGAATGGGTGATGACCCCAGCCCAACTACTTTTGGGAGGGGGGTGCTTGGTGCCCAGCTGTCTTCCACCCACCCAGTGAGGTTTTTCACCTCCTCAATGCCTAGAGCAGGGAGGCAGGTGGCAGAAGACCTTGCTGGCACTGCCATTGCTAAAGCAACAGGAAAATAAGGAGGAGCATCCCACCACCAGGAGCAGGAGTAGACGGTGGATGAAGGAAAGGTGTGGGGAACACAGTGTGATTTGTCCTGGCTCCACATCCCCCTAGGTCTAGCCCAGGGAAAGGGAAAGGGATAAGTGTTTGTATTTTCAGATCACGGTACACTGCCCCCCTCCTTCACCGAACGGTTCAGGTCTTCTTGAAACTGATCTTGGCTAAGTAATATAGGGTAGGATCTTCCACACAAAGGATGGTTCTTCATTAGACAGGCTCATACAGTTGTTACGGACCAGAAAAGGAAAGCACACATTTTTATAGCCTGCTATATACAGTTGTACCTTGGAAGTTGAACGGAATCCATTCCAGAAGTCTGACTTCCAAAACGTTCAGAAACCAAAGAACGGCTTCTGATTGGCTGCAGGAAGCTCCTGCAGTCAACTGGAAGCTGCAGAAGCCCCACCGGACATTCGGGTTCCAAAACAACGTTTGCAAACCAGAAGAATCACTTCCGGGTTTGCGGTGTTCGGGAGCCAAAACATCTGAGTTCCAAGGCGTTCGGGATCCAAGGTATGACTGTATTGTGTTGCTAGCATATTGTGTTCTATTTAATGGATAACTATCCCCTTACTCAAAAAACTAATATATTGAGGGGGCACCTACCCATAGCAATTTGTGTCAGAGGAGCTTTGCACGAAAATACGATTTTCATGTCAGAATCCTTTACATTTACATTTACATGAACTCACTCTGCATGTCCCAAAAAAGAAGATGGGTGATCTTCATTTACTTTGTATCACAAGCCTAAAGAAGTTGAAAAACCAAATAGCAAACAAATAGCAGGTTGGACAAGAATTGAATTATTTATTGTTTCCTGAAATTATTATCAAATCCACACCCTTTCCTCTCAATTAGGACAAGTTACACCCTTTCCTTTCCTTGGGAACATATTTTTTTTCTGCAGCCAAGACTAGTTTTCTTCCTGTGATATACACACACAAACCAGACAGGGGTAGTTTCTAGTTTTTACTTGCACTGAAAACCCCAAGTTTTCCATGAAATCTGTCTCACGGGCAAAGGCTTTTTAATTATTCCCTGCTCTCAATGAAAAAACTAACATTTAGCAAGACCATAGAACTGTTACCACATTCAAAGTGGCCCTAACTATATGAAATAATCTGTGAAAGATACTATATTATGCCTTATGCATAGAGAGAATCTGACACACATCAAGCCAAGTAATATATTGTCTAACTCCGGCTGAGTAGATGAAAAGAGCCCCAGGCCTCTGTTCAAATAATTACAAAAGCTTTAGTCTCCTAGAATGTGGCCCTGATTTGCATATTTACATAAATATGACCTCATTCCAAATCAATCTTTGGACTTCTTCATGATTACAGCCTTACTCAAAATTGGCAGAAAGCCAGTGTTGTGATCCTTGGGCACAGGCAATCTATTTTTCATTTTCTCTCAGTAAACACACATGACTTCTTGATAACTTAAGGATACTAAAACTTTTGCCTAATAATCAGCCCCCCTAAGAGGTCCAGGAAGGCCCGGGTCACATCTAGCTTTTGAAACTCCCTAGCCATAATAAAAATTGAAATGACAAGACCTAAAAACAACATAAGGCACCAAAAATAGATTGAGAAATAATCTGAATATACATTTTCTTATTTAATAAATGCTTTTGTAGCAAACATCTGGGTCGTATGTGCATAAAAAAGAAGTTGCAAAACTAATCAAGTGCTGAAAAAATAAATTTGAAGACCCCTTTTATCCTGAGACCCTGGGACAAAATGGCTCTCCTACCCCATCCCCACTGGCCCTGCTAATAATCTTTTCTTTTGAATGAATACTCTCATCCATGTTTTCCATTACTTTTAAGCTGCTAATCAGGACAAGGCTGGTCTTAGCAACTCTTGTCTAAATCCCACTTTGCATATCTATACTGCTTTGCACCTAAAGATCTCACTGTGACTTGCAAACAATGAATCACAGGAAACCACTGATTTTTAACCAGAGAAATCTGCCTGTGAGGTTTGTAAGCAACAGTCTCTAGGAATGAAAGAATGAAACCATGGTGAATTAAATTAGAATATAAGTGAAAGAGGCAAGACATATTGAGCACTACAACCTCAAACAACTCAATTAGCAAACACAGGAGCGGTATTTAAATTTTGCCATTCTGCCCATGTAACTTTAGGAGACAACCCACCCCCCCAAAAAAAATCCAGTAAGATGACCAGATTTCTGTTACCAAACATTTCCAGATAAAAAACAATACCTTTATTAGAACCAACTAAAATATCACATAGTTCTGAGAAGCTTTCTAATTCTCCATAAATCTTTTTCAAACTATCCTATCAAACTGGTCCATGAACCCAATTTTTCAGGGAAAAACATGCTCATTTCAAAATGGCACTGCTAGGCTAGGCTAATGAGATTATTTCTAAAAGGAAAAAAGAGGGATGATCACCTATGTACCCAAACGGCTTCTACCAGATTTGTCCCGTGATGTGTGAAGTAACTTGAGCCACAGCACAAATACCATGGTTTGAGCTTAGTTTTATCATGATTTTCATGCTCGTAATAATTGTTTTTATTGCTGCTAATATTATGGCTTTTGTAACAATTCTAAAGCACTTCAGATACAGTGGTACCTCGGGTTAAGGACTTAATTCATTCCGGAGGTCCTTTCTTAACCTGAAACTGTTCTTAACCTGAAGCACCACTTTGGCTAATGGGGCCTCGTGCCGCCACCGCACGATTTCTGTTCTCATCCTGAAGCAAAGTTCTTAACCCGAGGTACTATTTCTGGGTTAGCGAAGTCTGTAACCTGAAGTGTCTGTAACCCAAGGTACCACTGTACTATTCTACAGGCAAAGAATGCAACACCTTTTTAAAATTAAACAAACGGGGGTTTTTTGCACTTGGTACTAGAAATAAGTGCAGTAAATGATGGCAAAATGGAAGTTGACCGTGGACTAAAAAGGGTTACATACGCTTCAGGTTACATACGCTTCAGGTTACAGACTCAGCTAACCCAGAAATAGTACCTCGGGTTAAGAACTTTGCTTCAGGATGAGAACAGAAATCGTGCTCCGGTAGCGCGGC